GATTGTGTGGCAGTGTCATTGTGCCTTCCTGGGCAAACAAAACATAGTAAGTTTATTTTTAAAACTACATTCTATTTTAATGTCCGTGAGAAACTTTTATTAGTTCCAAATGGGTCCTGAGCCAAACAACAGGTGAAAATATGAGAAGAATTTCTACTCTGAAAGATGTTTTTACTCCCAAGGACACATTCAACTGAAGCAAACAGTCCCTTCAGGGCAGCATTGTTCTTTTTTTTTTCCGACACTGTGTGACATCTTCTAATATGGGTGTGTATGTGTGTGTGTGTGTGTGTTTGTTTGTGTGTGTGAGAGAGCTTGTGTCACTGTCAAAATTGCCTTGGTTCTTGTTATCGAGTCTGTGAAAGGGGAAACTCCCAGACAGTGAACTATGGCCCTGAACTCCACTCTGAGGTTGGTCAGGGTGAGAAATGATGAGGAGGGGTGAGCACGTTGATTGAGAGGGTGGTCAGTAGGTCAAGAGTGGACGGATTCTCTCATATTTTAGGCATTTTGATGCTGGAGTTACTGCAGACGACTTGTGTGTGTAAGTATGCATTGGTTGTTGTTAGGATCTGTGTTTTTTTCTGTTTTTTAATAGCTTTTTGAGTTTTAAGATTTGATCTGTTTTTGTGAGCTTTGGATGCCGTTTTGTATACGTGTGTTTTCCCCGATGTTCTTCTGTGTCACCACTCACTCTCTCAGTTTGTTTCTGCTCCTCTCATTTAGCCTGTCATGTCTAGTATGTATTAGTTCTGGTGTCTCTACATCCTCATCAGCCCAGTTCTATAAGTTCAGTTAGTTTTTTTCCACTCACCAGCAGAGCATTGTTGGTTTCATGCCACAGTCTGGTCTTCTTTCTGCTCCTAGACATGCTCCTCGTGATCTTTATAAGTTTGTATTCACATGAGATTTTGCCACTGTAACAGTTGCTGGGTCAAACTTTATTACAATTTATTTAAACATTTGTGTTTGATTCATTGAAAGAGGCAATTCATTGAAATTTGATTTTGTTTTATATAAAACACATCAATGAGATGTTGTTGTCCTCTAGTAAAAATAAGTTTATTGTGTGTTTATTTAAATAAATAAAAACAAGAAAACTAATTTTCATCAAAGCACTGAAATAATTGTTTGTGGTTGTGTGAATGCAGTAAAGTTGACTACAAAACATCATAACAATATATCTCCCTGAACGTGTGTCATATTAACCCTCCTGTTGTCCTCATTTTCTGTATACACCCTTTGTCCTCTGGGTCAAAATGACTCGTCTCCACTAAATCCCCAATATAAGCAGCTTAATTGAATTTTAAACACCAAATTTCATCTTGTATATTGTCATTCACCACAAAATGTGTGAATACTTGAGTTTTCCCTCTCCACTTGAATTTCTATAGCTTAAGAAGGGAAAAAATATGCAAAAAGGAGTTTCGAATGCATTTTTATTCATCTCAATGACTCATTTTCTTTTACTTTTCTCCAGTGAACAATTTAAGAGAATGTACAATACAAAAATATGAAAAATAACATAACCCATTCAACTAATTAGCACATGTAGGGCAGAATAGAAGTGCACAGCCTTGCACACAGTATGTGTTTTAC